TTTGTTTATTTATCTCTGTTTTTCATCCACAAGGCCACATTTGCAACTTCTTTCCCTCCATCATCTGGAAAATGCTCTCCTTCACTGTTTATTTTTTTTTTATCCTCCTCTTCCTCCTTCCTCTAGGGGATTATAACGGCCCCGACTGGCCCGATTGGTGACTTCGCAACATGGCCGATGCTTTTTTTTCTTCTTTACTTTATTGATGCTTATAATGCACATAAATCCTCCAGATCTCTCACCCCCTCCTCCCCTCCTCCCCCTCCCTTACATCCCCTCCTCTCTTTGAATGTTTGCCTTTTGTTGTGCTTGAATGACGCGTTGTTTGTTTGTGTTTTTTTTTTCTCTTCTTCTTCTTCTCTCATTCTCTCATTCAGCAAAATGTTCATCGGGGGTCTGAGTTGGCAGACAACACAAGGTGAGCTGTCCCGTACGCTACTTTAATAAGTCTTGGATGGATTTACTCCCCTTTTGCATGCATGTGTGTCCTCATAAATATCCCTCCGTGTTACCTGAAGTTAAAAGAAAAAAATCAAAGCCTCCTATTCATTCAAGGATCAGCTCTTAGGATTTAGACTTGGGGAGGGGGGAGATTAACGCTGGAAATCGTGCACATGCTGCCTTTTTCTCCCCCCTCAGCGTTACACTGTTAATAACCGAGGGAAAAAAAATAATAATAAAAGTGATCGATTGCAGAAGTTGTTGGGCTCCTATCTGTGTTTATTGTTGCGCGCCTCTCGATCCATTCATTTATTTCGAGAGCGCAGACGGACGCGTGAATACAGTTTATTCTGATGCTGTTATTATCCCAAAAGCAGCCACCGAGTGTAGCTTTGTTTTGCCGTTCTGTAGGGCCTTAATGGGGGGGCTATTATGCTGAATTGGCCAGATAGCACAGCCGGTAGTACGATCTCTGGAGGACCGGAGGGACACAAACACAACGTGGTCCAACCCGCCCCCATTGTCTCTCTCCGGCCATCCTCGCCTCCTCGCCGGGGCCTGTAGGACACCTCTCACATCCCCGCTTGTATTTATTTTAAAGCGTATTTCTCCCCCTCTCTCTTTATTTTCCTCCTTCGCAGAGGGCTTGAAGGAGTACTTCTGTAAATTTGGCGAGGTGAAGGAGTGCATGGTGATGCGGGATCCCGTTACCAAGCGGTCGAGGTAAGAAGGAGGCGTGTGCGCTCCGCCGTCCTATCACCGGATAGCAGCCACCTCATGCTCTTCCGCGAGTGAGTTTGCATTCTGATTTTTTTTTAAAAATCATATTTTACCTTTTCTTTTTCATTTATTTTTTTTGTACAGGGGTTTCGGATTTGTAACATACGCGGAACAAGCCGGCGTGGAGAAGGTTTTGGCGCAAAACAGACACGAGTTGGATTCAAAAACGGTGAGTTTCTGGTGTTTTTGTTGTTGTTGGGGGAGCTGCTGGATGGTACCAGTAACTTTTCCTATTCGGATTCTGTGTTGCATGCTTTTTTTTTTCTTTTCTCCCCCTTCGGTGCATTTTGCCTCCCACCGTATGGCTTGTAAAGTTGAGGAGTGCATTTAGGAGCTGCCCCCTCCTCCTCCTCCTCTCTGCTCATTTCCCCCTCCAAATCCCGGTTCAGGGCGCCAACATGAAAGCGTTCTTTCTTGGTCTTCATTGCCATGGTTACCTGGGGACCTGAATGGGGTAGCAGCCCCTGTGCAAAACCCTCACAGGTTTATATGCACAGCAGAGAGAAGTTTCTTCTTTTTTTTCCCCTCATAGAAAATAACAGCACCCATTTTTTGTTTGTTGTTTAAGTGGCAGCTCTCAGAGTTTGAGGAAACTGTTCAAACTGATGGCAAGGAGAGGGGAAGTCTGTGAGGTCAAGATGAAATGAAATGTTACTGTAAACTCTTGAGGTTTGTAAAGTTTAAAAAGCTGCTCTGATTGAGGAGTTCTGTGTAATTTCCCCTCCCACACCACTGACACATGAAAACTCAAATGTGGGTAAATAGGACAAATCACAGAAGTCAGGCTGTGTGCTCGAGTGTAGTTCATTCTGCAGTGACGTTAAAATGTGCACGAGTCCTCGGTGGTTTGTTTGGTGAGAGTCAGAGCTGCTGACTTGGATTTGAATATCTATGAAGGTGTGAATGTTGCTGTCTTGGTCATGTAGATTGGTTGCAGGCATGGGGACTGGGTGTGTCTTCGTCAGATTGTGGTCCTTCCTAACCACATGCACACACACACACACAAACACACACACACAATAGGATCATTTGAGAGTGAAAATCGGTGGCACAGAAAGGCAGCAGAAGCCCAGGGGTGGAGAAAGGTAGAGCTGGTTAGTTGTTGGAGCAAGCCTGTTGCCGGGGGTGACGCCAGCCTCAGGAGACGGTGCTGTAACTCCACAGCCCAATGGGATTTATGTCTCCATAACAACTTCTCAGCTATTTTGCATTAACTTAAGACACTGGGCTCGCCTGGGTAGCAGAGCTCTGACACACACACACACACACACAGATAATGTCAGGTCGTGACATTTGTGCTTTACGTGTGTGCAAGATTGTTATATTAGCTGTTTAAATGTGATGATTACACAAGTAGAAAGTTGAACATTTTGCAAATATTGGAGTGTTTGTTAATGTCAATTTTTTTCGGGTTGCTTGGAAGTGGGTTCTAAGCAACTCCAAAGTGTTACCGAGTGAGTCATGTTACCTCTTAAAACTAGGTACAGTCTTTAAGAGCCAGACCCTGTGTATGTATGTGTGTGTGTGTGATGTGAACACTGGTTTGGACGCTTTTGGAAGCTCAGCTTGGCAGGCCACTGGTGGGGTGAGGCGTTGCCCTATTATAAACCAAAATACAGCATAAAGCTAAACAATAATAATGTTAATGACTCAAATGCAGCTTTGGTTGTTGTGGCAGCAGTCTGCGGGGGTGAGCCCGCCATGGTACCATTTATCCAACCAGGCGTTTTAAACGGGGGGTATGGTTGCCATTTTGTCGTTCCATTTCGGAAATAAGAACCCAGATTTTTCTTTTTAAAAATATTTTTGCATTTGTTTGCTTGCAAATGTCATATCTGCCAAGGCTGCACTGTCACAACTTCAGTATTTCTTCTTGCTTGTGGCCTAATTCTTGAAATACTACATAAACTGTAATTAATGGATAAATGCAGTGTAGCCAGAAAGCCTCTGTTTTCCTAAATACTTCTAAATAAATCTATTTTCATTGTTTGTTCTTATCTGTATTTGACATGCACCATGTTCCTGCCTCACACCTGGACGCTCTCTTTCATAGTATTGTTTAATCAGCATGAGAGACATTCTTCCGTGGAATGAGGAAGAATATTTGATCCTTTCTGCCTTTAGTTTGCGAGAAAAGACAAGCCATGAAGGAGGAAAGAGAGACACGAGGAAAGGTGTATAGAACAGAGCAACAGGAGCCCTGGAAGAAGTAAACTACATTAACTGGTGCAAGGTCCATACTGCCGGTTACACGTGGTATTAAACATTTACAGTCCTGTTACATCCGCTATTGTTTTATCTGCCCCCTGGAGAAGACGAGTCACAGGCCGAACATCAGCTGAACGTTATAATTGTTGTCAGTACCTGTGTTGCTAAAAATCTAAGTACAACAAATGTGAGGTTATCTTTTGTTTTCAGAGAGAGGTCTGTTGAGGTTGTTGTTTTGGTTGGAGGTTAGATTTCCTGTCGGGCCAGAGTATGGCCTCAGGGCAGTGGTGTGCTGCTGTATTTCTCTGGACGGAGAAGAAGGGCACAACTGGTATTTGTTTTCTCCGAGAAATGCTTTACTGGAACCAGTTACGGGAAGAAGAAAAGACGAGACGGGATATTCTCTGAAAACGGCTGCTTCTCCCTTCCCTTCGGCTTAGGCACGGGGTGATTGTAGATTTTGATGTTATTATTTTGTAGTGATGGATTGTTGTGCACGTTATTATTATTTCTTTAGCCATATTCATTGTGTGGTTGACTGTTCTTATGCATTATGTATTCGATGATGATGTATCAATAATGTGTGCTAATAAAGCATTGTTGTTTCTTTAAAGGGTATTGACCTAAAGTAACCTCTGACGTGTAACACTAACACAACCTAAAAGGAAAACATTTTTTTAAAATAGAAAATAGCTTAAAAATAAATAAAGAAGAAAATAAGGAAGATAGAGACGATTCTTTATTTAACTTTGACGTTTTGCAGCAAGTAAACCAGAATGCCCTTCTCAAAAGTGTGCTAGAGTAGGTGGTAATTGCTGCTTTTGGCACAACTGTCAATGAAGGTCCAGGAGTAGTCGTCAGCAAGGTGCTAATATAGCAGCTCTAGTGCAACAGCATATGTTAGCAGTGGCCTCTGTGGATCATTGGCACCACAGTCTGCAGTGGCTACTGGTCCAACACCTGGCTCCTGGAGAGTTTAGATGCTAGCAGTGGCTCCTGACTGGAAGATTAGCTGTTAATGCTGACGTGGACAAAACTGGAGAGAAGGGGGGTGGAGAAGGTGGAGAGAGAGAGGGAGAGAGAAAGAGAGAGAAAGAGAGAGAGAGAGAGAGAGAGAGGGAGGCCCGGCTCCTGTGCTGTAATTAGTATGGATCTGAAAAGCAGCTAATCGGATTGAAGGAAACAAACTGGATTGGGCTTCCGAGGTCCATGCATGGCCTCAGATCCAGGGATAAAGCTCGGACCTGCGCGGAAGGTGGACGCGCTCGCCGTGCTGCATGTGCGCAACCCCTGCCACGCAGAGCACCCACCCCTGGTCGGGCTTACAGGGGTAGAGATGGGCTTGGGTCGGAGGTCCTCATTAGGGAGCTTCGTTAACTAATTACTGTGCCATTGTTGAGCTGTGCAGATTGACCCTGCTGGCCTGAGCCCAAACCAAGTCTCTCTCTATGTGTGTGTGCATGTATTGACATGCCAACTCCTTTTGTCTCCTCTTGTGTTTATAGCTTTTTGTTTAGCTTATATTGATTATACCGCCATAATGGGGTTGCCTGTGGCGTCTTTTTATCAGTGTGGGCGTTTGCCATTTTGCTGCAAGAATGTCTTGGCAGGTTGGCCAATGTGTCAGAGCTTGAATGTGTCTACTTATGAAGGGGAGCTTTAATTTATATGTGTAAGTGTGTCTGTATTTTTAAATTAGATATATATGTCACTTTGCACTACATGTGTGTTGGTGGTTACATGTGTGCTACATTATGTGGGTGCTTGTGAGAGTGTGTATATGTATGTGTGCCTGTGGGGGTAGCACGGGAGCCCCAGTTCCTCTACGGGCCCATCTGTTTTGTAGTCTTTGTCCTGTTAATTAATGAAATCAGAGGGGCTGCCTGCTGGGACGGCCCCGCTGCACCGCTACGCTGGACAGGCCCACTTTCTCATGGGCTGCCTCTGTTTTCCAAATGAATGCCTTTTCTTTCTCCCTGTGCTTTTTCTCTTTCACCTCCCCTCCCTCCCTCTCTCTCTCCCTCTCTCTCTTTACTCTCTACCTACCTATCTATCCATCTATTGATTTGACATTCCTCATTTATTTATTTATTTTTTTCCCATTTTTTTTGTTTTTTTTTGTTTTCCAGTTTGTAACACTGGTGGATGCGCTGCGCCACGTGAGGTGACTATTAGTCGTAGATTAGCGTAGTCTTAAAAGCTAAACCACTAAAAATCATATCGTAGGCTCTGCTGTCACTATGCTACTTAGATGGAAGCGGAGGTTGGATGTCATGAAGCAGGATGTTAGTCAGACCATTTCACAAACACTCAGTTGTAACTCTTCACAGGCGGTCGGCGAGGAGCAACTTTTTTTTTTCTTTCTTCTTCCTCGAAAGGTTTAAAAAAAACACACAAAAAAAAACATTTTTCATGAGCAGTTACATTTTCACTGGTCTGATTGGGCCCGTTACATGGCCGAGCCTCTTCTCAAATGTCAAGCCTCTGAAGAGCTATTTCTGAGTGTCCAAACTGTGACCTGGCTAAGTCATTTTACTTTTTGCTTTGTGGCCTATCTGTCTTCCTTGAGGCTAATCCGCCAGTCTGATAGATGCTTTATTTTTCATTTATTATTGCCTCCTTCCGAGTACAGCCAGATGTAGAAATTACATGTTAGATACATTCTGTTATTTCACTGGAGTGGAATGATTTTTTAACAGCATGGCATGACTGTAGCCGTAGTAGCACTACTACAGATATTGCATTAGGCCTAACCTAGTCTAGCTGGTAACCTTCAGTGTATTAGGCTGTTTTACAAGAGCTTATGATGATTTAAAAGCTATGAAATACTGGTACTTTGTCAAAATGTGAAGTGTGGGTGGGCAATGTGACAAAATGCCACAACACGTGTTACATTTGTCAACCTCTGTACATGGTCTGTGTTTTTAATGTCTCTGATTGCATTGTGTTGTGTTAACAAGGTTGCTGCATCAACGGAATGGCACATCTTGATTTACCAGGGCTTTAATTAACTGGATAAAGTAAAAAAAAAAAAAAAGAAGAGAAAAGTCACGTAACGATCTGCTCACATGAAAACGAGGGTGTTTCCAAGCAGCTCCAAAGAAGAAACTGATCTTACAAAGGCATATTGACAGGAAATTGATTTTCAAAATCTCCTCATGCTGCTAATTTAATGAAAAGGCTGTTCGACATTTGTGTGTAGCCTTTTTCTTTTTTTTCCTACTGTGGCAATCGTTATGTGACTGCAGTCTTCTGTCAGATATGAGGTGGTTTCTGACTGCTGTCATTGTCAGCTCGTGGTCTGTGTCGCTGCCACATAATGGCCTCGAGGCAGCTCCTGTCCTCTAGTCGTGTTAAAACAGTTTAAGGCAGGTGGGCTGACCAGAACAGCAGAGGCTGTTACCTCTCAGCACTTTCAGGTCAGAGGAAGCACATGGACATGTTGCCTACATTTCCCAACCAGTTCATACCAGGATTACTGTGTGTAATATGGATTGACTGATTATCAGATCCAATTTGCAGCATTTTTCCTGCTATCGGTAATGTTACCTTTAACCAGTTTCCCATAGAATCATTTAAAAAATACACGACTTTGACTATAATGCCGCCGCCTCTTTCTATGTGTAGCCACCACTCTGTGATTTCAGACAATTTCCTTCCTCCAGCACAATCTGATTGGTAAATGGTAAAAGGCTGTCCATTTATGAAAAAAAACCTTTAAAAAAACAAAAGCATTTCAACAAATTTTTTAGTTGAAGTTTGTTTCGGTTTTAATTTTGACAGTGAGATTTAAATTTTTGCAGCAAATTTGTATCGGTGCAAAATATCGGTCATCAGTCTCCTTGGTTCCGCCAGAAAAAACATATTAATTGACCCCTTATGTGTCACAAAATATACATATATATATATATATGTATGTATATATATATATACACACACGCAAGAAAATATAACATTCAATGAAGACTAGGTTCAGAACTGCCTCTTGTACTTGTTTGATTTTCTTTTTCTATTCCGCTATAGATGTCGCCTGCTTGTCATATTTTTACCATAAAATGTTTTTTTTCAGTGGCACAGGTGGACTATACTTGTGCTGTACTGGTTATAGTAAACAGTGAGGCTTGTAGTATACAGAAATGGCCACATCAGCACTTGTCATTGGCAGTATTCGTAGCCTCTATGTGCCTTTTGAAATCCTGGAAAGGACAAAGGATCATAGTGTATATAAAGTCGGCATAATCACACATCGATAATGTTACATTTGGTCCACTAAGCAGAGACCCTGTAAGAAATGCTGTGTTGTCATTGTTTGCGAGGGCACTCTGTTGTTGTACTGCTGTTGCCGATGGTCGCTGGTGGCTTTGCGTGTCCTTGTCACCTTTGTCTTTGTGCTTAGACCAGCTGGAGGTGACATGACTCTTCTCATCTTTGCGTCCCACTTCAAGGTGCAAAGTCCTTCTGCAATCCCTTCCAAGGACGCTGCAGCTGCATCTTAGTTACACAGCGTTGCGCTCTCGAAGCGGTGGTAAATCTGAGGCACTCAAAGGTCCTCGTAGGCTATATCACAGGAAAGAGATGAAAGGATTGTTTGAATACAGAGTGAACAGCCTGCCTTATATCTTGTGTGTGTTGTTCACATTATAAGTAATTATTTTCCGGCTGTTCGATAGGCTCTTTTTTTATTTGCCAATATCAATTCAATACCTCTGATAGCGGTTGTGTGAGGCACAAGGGGTTTTGCTTCACACATCCAATTATTAGAACAAAGATGGAACTCTAAGACCATAATACACTACAAGGTCCTGTGACCTAAAATCATCTCTCTCACTGGCTTGAGTGAGAATAACATGAGATTCCACACAAATTTAAAATGCCAGGCCAGGCTTTGCATATTTAGCATTATTAAAGGCCAGCTCATTCAAAGCTCATTTACTTCTAATTTTATCTGTAACCTTGACCACTGCTGAGACATTCCAGTGGGGAGAAATATGGATACAGTCAAATCTGGCTAATCCAAAATGGTGGTTGTCAGGATTTGTGAGATTTAAAAAAAAATATATCCATCTGAAATGTATTCAGAATATTAAATGCTCATTTTGGATTCCAGACTGCCCTGCTCTGTCTAGTTTTGTGGCTAAGATGCATTTAGTTGTGTCTCAACACACAATTCAGAGAAAGTACGTATTCATGTCTCACTGTGTATTTTGTTCCTTATGCCTGTTTGTTTGGCTGGTGTGTTTGGATTTTTGGGGGCTTGCATAAACAAGGGTCTACTATACATATTCGCGGATTAGCATACGTTCTATTTCTGGACTTGTAGTCCTTCAGATGGGTTCAGACTTAGAGGCTCTGTGTTGTAACTAATTCTGGTTGGTTAACAGTGTGATAATTCATTGATACCCAGAGGGATATTGACTTAACTCAAGCGCAGGATCAGCTACTGAACAACATATCCGGAGCAGGTAGAGATTTGGTGCCTTTCCCCAAAGAAACATAAGCTGGGTGGATGCATTTTAATGGTGGGTGCTGCCTAACAGTCTGCCTCCCAGAAGAGACACGAGAAATATTAGTCTTCTGTTTAACCCATTTTTAACCTCAGAACTGAAGAGCAAAATTACATGTTTCAGTCTAGATTAGTCATGTTTGGGATATCACAGACCTTGAATTTAAAACATGGTTAAGTACAGTGGATTTGGTGTATTGTTTGTCTGCGATTGGTGTTGAGAGGACTTTTTTTTTTGCAACTCTACCGTTCCTAAATCCTTCTTATGCATTCAGAGTTTTGTTATTGAAATTGTAACACAGATGGAGTTAGACCTCTATGGGGTTGCATTGATCCTGAGCTTAAATAACTTGTAGGCACTATGCAGTCTTTTAGCCACTATATAACATATAATCCATTGTAAATTCATGTATCTGATGGAATAACAATGCCTTCATGGCCAATCTTCTATATTGGGTTATCACTTCAATGCTTTTATTGATTTTATTTAAAAAAATCAAATCAAACTCACATCAGAGTGTTTGCCACATTCTAAAACTCATCCCAACCCATGTCTTCCCTACAGATCGACCCGAAGGTGGCGTTTCCCCGCCGGGCTCAACCGAAGGTGAGTGCACCCTGAAGGGGTTAACAGCAAGGAGGAGCAGTGATGATGTCATGTGTCACCCCTAATCATTGGTCCCTGGTTGGCTGGGATTAGAGTCGGACACGTGACCGAGCAGAAGCTGCAATCCACTTGTCTAGCCTGACACCGTGACCCTGTTCCCTGACCCCTGAACTGCCCCCTGTACACACACACACACACATATATATACATGCATTTGTTTGCTTGCACATAAATGAAGCCACACACACATTATTCAACTGTACACACAGTAACACACACTCACATGCCTTAAACTGAGCTGAAATAGCTTCAATGCCCAGAAGAGCTTTCAGAAACCTTTGAGATTAGATAAACACCAACCAGCATAAAGTCTCTCTATCACAGGCATCTACCCCCCTACCTAATGTTATTAGTGATAAACGAGGCCTCCTTCTTCTTCCTCTGTGCTGCTAGCTGGTGACCAGAACAAAGAAGATCTTTGTCGGAGGACTGTCAGTCAATACCACCATCGAAGATGTGAAGCAATACTTCGACCAGTTTGGAAAGGTAAACCGTACACAAACCTGCTATCTGCTTGTTGCCATTGCGCTGGAGCCACCGCAGTGACAAGCTGCTGTCTTTCAGATTGTCTAATGCAGTGCTTTTTGCTATCTGAGGCTGGTGTACTCTGAACAGATACCACATATCATCTTACAAATGTGAGCATTTGTACCGATTTTAACCTGGATATTAAAAATGGATGAAATAATATTTTTTCCCAGCATTGAACTGTCAGTGTTTGGTTGCTTATCTCTTGTGTTTAGGGGGAAACTATTCCAACTGTTTATTCATTATCTATGCCAATCCAAACTGTTATAGTTTTTTTTGTAATTTATTATTAAGCCTTTAGCTGTTTCAACTATTTAGTTCACCCCACCTTTCTATTTTAGCTGTGTAAACCACATTATCTGTTTGCTCCTCTGGCCGCTCGCTTACTAGTTTTCAGACTCTCAGCGGCAACTTGTGGTGTTCAGGTGTTAAAGCTGACTCAATATGTGGACTAGCCCAAGTAATTAAAATTACTAGCTCGAGTAAAGCCTGCAATCTTTCCGTGTACCTTCTGAAGTACACCCTGGGGTACAAGTACCTCTGGTAGGAAATAACTTCTCTAATGAACTGTATACCTTTTGATAGATTATTTTCATCAGTTGGCCCCCTCCGTCTGTATGACACCTTTCAGCTTCTCTTTAAAACGTGTTGCTTGTTTTATGCCTTTTGTTTTCACCCCTTTCCCCTTTTGAGTCACGACACAACAACAAAAAAAAAAGGCCGTTATTTACGAGAACACCGAAAGTGAAAGCGAGAGAGATCTGACCGAAAGGCAGAAAGATCCTGTCAGTGGTTCTGCTCCGCCGGCTACAGTCTTACTTAGTTTGTTAGTTTTTCCTCTTTTGTTTGCTGTTTTGCTCTTTTCTGATCACATTTTAGTGTTTTCGGCTTTTGCATTTGGTCCTGCTTAGCTCCCTTTGAATGAAATTTGGTGAAAGGCAAACACATGCTGTGGAGACAGATGAGTGGCTGGGGGAGAGGGAGGAAGAAAAAAACAAAAAAGCAAGCAGGAGGGGAAGAGAAGAGGGAGATGGCAGGGGACTGAAAGGGAAGAAGCAACCCCCCATAGAGAGAGAGGAGGGGGAACTCAGAAAAGGTTGAAGGGCAGAGAAAAGGAGGAATGTTGAGATAGTGAGCGGCAAATGTGACCATTAAATGGAAAGAAAAACGGATGGGCTGTAAATGTATGAAAGTAAAGCGGGACACGTCAGGTTACTTTTTTAGCAAACTACACTTTAGGGGGGAGTGTGTTTGAGTAGAGTTCAGGCTCTTCAGTATTAACTAATCAAATGCAACAGCTGCTCCTGTAATAGCCCCCCTACCTCACCCAAAATCAGTACTTCAGACACCCTCCCATCTCATGCACACACCCTGCTCCAGTCCCTCTCTGCTTGTTGCCGTGGTGACCTGCCTTCGCCCATTGTCCCGGTATAATCCAGTGTTTTTTTTTTTTTGTTTCCTTTAAAAAAAAAAAAAGAAATGTGCGAGAAGTGTGCATTTGCATGAATGGAAAGACGGGTGTGTGCGCATGAAAGTGTGACAGTGGCATCGTGGCGGCTGCAGAGGGAGGCGAGCCTGCATACATTTGTCCACATTCAGACAGACAGACAGACAGACAGGAGGACTCACAGCCAGCGATCCAGTTGTCACAAACATCAAGTGTGCGGTTCTGCTGCTGTTGGATGAGCGGGACGGTCTGAAAATGAGCATTGCTTCAGGATGTAGGCCTAATGGCTCGGAAGAAATTAACAGCACGAAGCTCCTTCTGCCTCGTGTCTGGCTGTGTTTTCTCTCAGTTGGCCTCTGACTCATGCTCGGGGTATTACTGTATTTCAGGTGCTGGTTCAAATTTAGATAACGTCTCCTAATTCAGAGTGGTGGATCCTGGTAGGCCTGGATGACGTGTGTGACCATCGCACTCATTCAGTTGGATGTTGTGACATGTGTCATGTTTCCTGAGTGAGCTTTCCAAAATGGCTGTTTGCAGCTCTGTGCCGAATCAGTTCTCCCCAGTGATTATAGACACTCATATCTAAGACAACACTCCCTCCGCAGGATGAGGGAATATTTGGACTGTTTGGACACGTGAGACCAAAGCTGTATCATGGATAGCGGCAATCCCACAGTGCATTCCTGCTGAGCGGGAGGTATTTCTTGTTTATTATCTGAGCCTGGTTACAAGGTGCAGGTTTGGATGGAGCAGGACTCAGTGTCCTGTTTATTTTCATACTGTGGCACCGCCTTGCAAGGAAAACACAGAATGCACTATGCATTTTATGCAACTCTTTGATACGTGCTGAAGTTTATTTTTTTGGAGTCCACTTCTGAAAGCACACCTACGCAAACTTCATTAGACTGGACTGGAATGGCTGCTGGGTTGACACGTCAGGTGTTAGGACCAAACCGAGGAGTCAGAGGCATGTGTTTATGTGTGGTTTCCTAACTGAACAAATCTGAGCTCCTGTTGCTAAATGTCCCCAGGCCAATAAGGCAGCAGCAGCCATGTTTGTATGAGAAATAAGTCTGAATCCTGAGGTGAAGGTCTTGTAATCCCCTTCAACCTGGTGGAGAGTGGACAACACTCCCCTTCATTTCAGCCAAGGCTGAATATAGAACCTGTGTGCATCACAGAAATGTGTTTTTAAACTGTAAATTGGGCATGGAGTTAGATAATTTGATAATTAGCATTTCAGCCTTACAGTAAATTATGTTTAGTCCGAAGGAAATCCCCGGTTTCATGCCTGTTTATCCTGCCTCCCTGTGCTGCGTTCCTCAAAGCACCTTACATGAAAAACTAGGATTTAAATTCTCCCTTTTTACCTCTTTTTTTTTTTTTTTAAGAGCTGTAAGCAAACGAAGGAGTGGATAAGATGAAAAATGCAGCATGGACAGGGCAGACGGGAAAAGTTGGGACTCCACTCACCCATGTGAGCTGGCGATTAGAAGGCTTGACTGAACACTTTGTCTGCTGGCCTGTTTAGAGAGAGATGGCCGGAGAGAGAGGGAGCCAGAATGAAAGAGGGAGATGTGAGGAGACAGCAGGGAAAAAATGTGAATGCCACCTTTCATAATCTCGCAAAAAAGTGTAATGGACTTGTCAGCAAACACTTGTTCTTCAGACAATAGCTGTACGCTTCACTAAGAACTGGATATTTTTAATGCTGCGCTCCGAAAGCTGGATCTCGGTTGACCCTTGCCTCGGTACATCTGAGAATGTCAGAACTGGAGAATATGACCTTAACTTTTCTTAACTCTCTGCTTGCATGCTGAGTAGTTAGCGACTGAGCCACTGCTAAGCCAATCTCAGACCCCCACAGCTATCCAATCAGATTGTCTTACAGCACCCTGGGCAGTGGACATCGTGAGATCGTCTCCTTATTGGTTTTGGCAAGGGCAAGGGGCTGGTGTGCGACCACAGCATAAGCTCACACACGTGACAGAATTGTTTGTACACCGACGTATTCTCATAGACAATTAATTGAGCCACATTAGCGTGACTGTACAGCGTTATGATCTTTCTGTTTCTCCCCTCGCTTCGGAAATTTTAGCCATTAGAGTGGCAGCGCAGCTCCAAATCTCCTGCAGCGTTAACCATCGGTCATCTCTTCCAGAATAGATGCTGCTAATGCTAACAGGAGGGCTAGCTGTGCGTGTAACTCTACTCTTATGATAACATGTTGGCTTGCAGCTGTCTACTTACTGTCCTGTTCCCTGGCTCTCTGCTGTGTCATTGAGTTTGGACGACCGGAAGGGTGGAAGACACGAGGGGTGGGGGGAGAGAGGAGAGGAGAGGAGAGGAGGGGAGGGGGGGAGGAATAAAAACTGAATGAAGGACAGAAAGAAGAGCAAGAAGGGCCGAGTCCTGAATGTGTGTCATTGCTATATGCTGGATGATGGTGGAATCTCGTAGAAGCAGCCTTGATCTTCCCCTTATTCACCATTTTTCACTTTTACTGGTTCAAACACTTGCACAGGCTTAATCTCAGTATGGAGGGCGCGCATGTGGGCTTTTCATCTGCGATAAGTGTTAGAAATCAGATGGCCTGACCATCCAGAGGCCTCCGCCACTCATGTTACACTGGTTTGAGTTTCAGTGCCCGTCGCCTCATGAAAATAGCCATGTAGTCATACTCCACTTGTCCCCGTGTGACACAGGAGGGCAAGTGATAGAGATTTTTTTGGGGGAATTGCGGGAGAGAAAAGTTTGATTTCCACACCGATCCCAGGCCTCGGCTTCCCCTTGTGTCGTCAGAGCTCGAGCAGAAGCTGCTAACTTTCCTGCCAGTGAAGGACAAGTGAGGGAGGGAGGGAGGAGGTGGAATATGAATAGGGCAGTGGAGTGAGTGCAAAAAGGAAAGTGGAGGGAGAAGGAGAATAAAAGGAGAGCGTGTTGACAAAGACCCCAGCTCACGTTGTTCTCTGCTCTATAATCCAAGAATGTTCACGAACAGATTTTTCCATCCATCAAAACTTTACCCTCTATTGTTTTTTTTTTTTTTTTATCGTTCCATGATCTGTCCCCGTTCCCCCCTACTTTTTCTCCTTTTCTGTCACATGCTTTCTCTCCCTCTCTTTTTTCCTCCCTTTCTCTCCATCCTATTCATTGAAATGAGTTGAGGGAGGGAGGGGGGGCAAGTTCTTCTAATTGAAATTCTTTACAGGGTCTCCATGGGAATAGTAAACTTTGCAGAGAGGGAAAGAAAGAGGGCGAGGGTGAACGAATGAAAGGGGAAAAAAAAGAGGGAGAGAGAGCAGGACGGAGTTTGTGAGAACTCAGGCAAGACAGAGCGCAGAATTTGAAAGAATTTCCTCCAGCACCTCATGAACGGCGAACATTCACTCCTTTTCTCACATTGATAGATTGTATGTCATTTTATTTTTATACAGCCCCCTCCCTCCTGCTCTACCTCCCTCTTTTTCCCCTGATTTCCCGCATCACTCTCTTCCTTTCTCACCCTTTCATTCTTTCTTTTTCTTTTCTCCTTTGTCACCTGTCAGCCCTCCCTCTCTCCCCTCCACCCTCTCCATCTGTTTTCCCCTCTTACTCCAATGCTAAAGAGGGACAATGGCACCCCATGCTGCGTAATGATGTGTGTGTGTGTGTGCGTTAATATGTCGAAGCTCATCTATTCTTTGCTTTGTTCTCACAGGTCGATGATGCCATGCTTATGTTTGACAAAACAACCAACAGACACAGAGGTACGTACGCAGAACTGCACTCATATTTGCACACACATTATGTTAATATGTGTTGACATACTAAGTGGGACATCTAGAAAACGCGTCCTCGTAAATGAAAGGAGAAACAGCGTGATAGAGTCATTAGGTGAACCTCCATTAAAAAAAAAAAAAAAAAAGGCAGAATTTTTCTCAAATCACATTCTTTTGTCTTTCCTCCGCTGGCTCCCCCCGTTTCATTTATCTCTGTCCTCTGTGTGGGCCGGGAGGGCAGCGCCCGCTGAGGGGTCGTGATACGGAGTCAGGATGGTTAAAGGAGAGGATCTAACTTCGTGAGATGAGTGAAGAAAAAAGGGAGAAGAGTACGGGGGAGTTTGAGAAATTGGTCACGATAATGTGGGCTCAGGTTTTGGTGAACCGCGCCCCGCTCCCTTTCCTCCACCACGTTAACACCTGATTGACAAGCAAGCCATGCGAGGCTCGCTTCATCTCTCAGCCCTCTGTGTTATTATGATGAAGGCAGAGGACGAGGTTGAAGCGACCACTTGTCTTCTGCCATGTAATCAGGCCCGACAGTCTTGTCCTTCTCTGCAAGATATGATTGTGTGATTGTCTTGCCGTATGAAATCCAGAGTCGATATTGAGCCTTTGTGAGATATCGCAGGAGGTCAGATGTTGAAATCTGTGGATGAATTCTATGTATGTGAGGTCTCTGCTAGACACAACACAAATACAAGCAGGTGGGACAACTGCTGAATTTGTTTTGGTCTCCTCCAGGTTTTGGATTTGTTACCTTTGAGAATGAAGATGTGGTGGAGAAAGTGTGCGAGATCCACTTCCATGAGATCAACAATAAAATGGTAAGGATTGCGCATCTTTACTCAACGATGGGAGGATTTTCTTTGAGGTGCATTTAGTTGTCTGCCACTATGTGTTGTGAGTTCATGAATCACATTGTTGTTATTATTGAACACTGATTTGCTTTGCTGTAGGTTGAGTGTAAGAAAGCTCAGCCCAAGGAGGTGATGACGCCGACAGGCTCAGCCAGAGGCCGTTCCAGAGTGATGCCCTACGGGATGGACGCCTTCATGCTGGGCATCGGCATGTTAGGTAAGATCCCAAACCAAACACAGTGAATGTACAAAAAGGATATGCAAATTAGATGTACATTGACATACAAATGTAACCAAAGTGTTCGCAAGAAGGATGTCTCGTAGCTCGCACCATTATTCTTTATGTGGACATAGCTTGGTACATTAGTTTGGAGACTGTAATTCTTTTAAAATACTTACTCTTAAACCCACATTGAAAGTGGAATATTTTTAGTTATCTAACATATGTGAAGACACCAGAAATGATGGAATATTAACAATCCATTACCTAAAACCTCCCATTGGGCATGAAAGGCATTTTATCTTTCAAAAATTGCCCAAATAACACCATTTATCCCTTACTTATCTGTGAAGTGCTATTCAATGTGGAAGCTTACCCGAATCTAAGCTTAAATCAAAGAAAGCAAAATCACATTTTTCTACTTGTCTCATTTAGAAAAAATGCCAAAAATAAATCATTTGCACTAACCAGATTCTGTAAAAAAAAACAACAAAAAAAACAGAACATAAAATTCTGTGTATGTCATGTAGCTGTGAAACCATTCATGACTTTGCTGCGACAAAAAGTTATGAACTTCTGGCTGAACTAAGTTGAACTGCAGGCTGTGCTTATGCAGATCAGATTGGAGACAAGTAGAAAAACAAATCTAAGTAGTTCAATATCTATATTCACAGCCACCATATTTTCAGTATTGGTAACATCTGTGGGCCCTTGGAAATATGTTGTTCATGTCGATCCTAGGGCTGCAAGGTGGCGCAGTTGGTTAGCACTGTTGTCTTGCAGCGAGAAGGTTGCAGAAAGATCCCAGTGGGGGCACCGGGATCTTTCTGCGTGGAGTTTGCGTGTTCTCCCTGTGCAACGTGGGTTCTCTCCAGGTTCTCCGGCTTTCTCCCACAAACATGTTGAGGTTATTGGTGATTCTAAATTGTCCGTCGGTGTGAATGTGAATATGCTTGGTTGTCTGTCTCTAAGTGTGGCCCTGTGATAGACTGGTGACCTGTCCAGGGTGTCCCCTGCCTTCACCCTAAGTTGGCTGGGATAGGCTCCAGCCTCCCCCGCGACTCTAGTGAGGATTAAGTGGTGTGTAGACAACGGATGGATGGATGTCCATTCTAGTTTTTTTTTCTGTTTTTGTAAAATATTAATCAAAAAAATCCACCTTTTCTTTGTTTCCTTTTTAATGATTTATGGCATGATTGGCATGGTTGTGCTGTTTCCATAGAGGTGCAGGACTTCATATTGCAGTGGAAAATTAGCCCACAATGAGTTAAAACAGTGACAGGAGCAAAGAAGCATCCAGAAACTGCTCAGTGTTCAGAGGGTTAATATGTAACTGTACAAAAACACAAAATTCTAAACATGCTAGACAAAGCTTTGAAATCCAGTTTGCATTTAAATTGTGGTCTGTACTTGAATTTAGCTGTGAGACTCAACATCAATGATGTTGTTAATATTACCTGCTGTCTCATTATAGTAAAGCAGCACTTACACATTTCTGAAATCCCTCAGTCCAGGTTCATATTTGTGCCCACGTTGACTTGGACTCAACTTACCTCACTGGTTAAGCTGATGTTATTCTCTATGATCTATCTAATATTTAGAGGTCACAGCCTGAAGGGCTCTACATACTGGAGTGAAATAGTGTTTGAAAAGATTCTCATTGAGAAAAGAACCTGAGAGCGACATCTTTGGTGGTTGTTTGGCTCCATCTACTGGCCATTTGAGATCATACCAAACTGAAGTAATACAGAGAGTTTGTTCAAATACCTGTATTACTATAACATGTATTACGAAAGAAAAATATTTAGTATGGACCAATACATAGTTTGTCGAATGCTGTATGGTAAAGTTACCAGGATGTCCTACCACATCCAGTCACATTTTGCAGTATACAAACCAGAGTGCGTTCCGTTCTTACCCACAATCCTGTGTGCAGCAAAGGATACGTCACATATGTCACAGTGTCTTGTACGACTAAAGCAAGCAAGAGTGGACAGACAACTCTTTTCAGACTGCGATGGTTATATGAGCCAGACACTTCAAGCTTATGGTGCAATATTATGACAAAGTAGTATGTTGTACATCCTGCATGCGACTGTGCGTACTTGTTGCAGTAAAAGGAAAAAGTTTGAATCTCAGGGACAGGAACACTTGTACGATTAAGTCTGGCTGATCTGTAATTCCTTTTTTGATGACTCTTTATTCTTAAAGACAGCTTGTGTGTTATGACCAAGTTAGATGCATAAATCATCACGTGTCCTCCGTTGACCCACAGCTTCACTCAAGTTTAGAATATTGAGCGGCTGAATAAAATAAACCCTGGATGAGAGAAGGAGCAGTAAAACAGGAAAATCGCCTAAAGTATACAATACTTAACAATGGTTATCATTGTTTGTTTTTTTTTTTTATATATATATAAATGATCAAATCTGCATAGTTTAATGATATCTGTGTGACACATACTTTGGATATTTGTCATTCTTTGTGTACTGGAACAGGGGGAAATGCCTGATAGGAGACTAGTTATTTAACCTTTGCAGCAGGTGAACGTTTGGCTGCACACTTGAGGGAGTTCCAAAAATAAACCTGGATAGATCAGATGTCTAGATCTGTCTGTGTGTGGATGTATGTGCATTATTATGACTGCCTATCAGCGGATCAGTCTCCTCTGAGTTCTTAAGTTGTGTCTTTACTCAGCCAGGTTAACTAAACTGATCATTTTCCTTCTTTCTAACAGGCTACCCAGGTTTCCAGACTACTACCTACACCAGCCGCAGTTACTCTGGCATTGCGCCCGGATACACTTACCAGTTCCCAGGTAAGACTGTGTAAACCTTATACACAGTTGACTCTCTATAGGTGTGCAGACAGGGACAGACGAGAGGCTAAACGATACAGGCTGTGGCATGTAGTTGGTTCCGCTGAGTGTGCCGGGGACATGAAACATGTATGAACCACAGCAGCCATGAGGATGGATGTTTTTCACCTTTCTGCTCACACATGGTTAATAGTGGCTTCTTGTGGGTGCGACTGTGATTTAAATTGTTCCTATCAGTCCTTTCAAACCCTCCTTCTTTTCAAAAAGATCTGATTGTGTCTCAGACATGAACGGTTGATGTTTTACCTTTGATTTTATGATTTTTCCTCTGATATTCTTCTCTGTTTATTTGATCTACTTATGTAACCCCCCCCATTCATTTGCCCCTCCTTTTCCTTTGCTCCCACCTTCCTGCCCGTCCTCACAGTAGTTTTTTTTTTTATTTTTCTGTGCTTGTACGTCCACGTTGTCTCTGTTTGTGTGTCCGGCTTTGTAGTCTGGCTGGTGGATGGTGACTATATTTACAAAGTGCTCTCTCTCTCAACCTTCTCTGTTTCTAGAATTCCATTTAGAGAGGACCCCCCTCCTGACATCATCCCATCCCCCCGAGCTGGCAGGTCAGTGGCTCCTCATTCCTCTAAGGTCCCGGTGAGAAAACCAAGGCTATTTAGCAGCAGAAAGCCAAATTAAACAGTGCGCATTTGAATGTGCTGCTGCTAAATATGGTTAACGTGCATCACCAAGAACCTTCTGAGTTCTGTAGAGAAAAAGCAAAACCATATAACGGATCAGTTTTGGCTTCACGGACATCCTGGTTTACATTTTGTATGAGGTTTACATTCAAAGAAGTAGTCAGTTAGTTTAGCTTAGCTTAGTGTAGAAACTGGAAATAGGGGTAACCAGCTTCACCTGCAGGTAGCTCCAGTGTCCACCAGTTAGCATGTTAGATCTCATTTGTAGATAAATAAACCGCCGTTCAGGTAAACGCTGACACGTTTTTGTGATTTCTGTGATTTCTATTTATGAATCCTGTGGTTGTCTTCACATATTAAGTCCTCCTAAACTTTCACAAACCTCCTGAGAGCAAATTTTGCTGAAGGACTGAGAGAAGCCAAGAGAAAGAAAAGGTTAAATATATTTTTTTTTAAAAAACAAAACAGTGGAAATAGAGATTAAATTCAATCAGATGAAAAGTTACAGAATCTAAAAGTTAAATACAATTATCTAACAATATTGACCTTGTTTTTTTTTGTCTGAGCATTTCTTCATCTCTTAATGGTAATTTTATATTTAGCGCTTACAGGAAATCTCTTTCCATTTTATGAGGTGATTATTTAAGATACACTTAACATCAAGCAAATGTGAATCTAAAGTACATTTTTGTTTTGAGGAATATTTCTTTCAGAAGCTCACCTGCCATCAAAATATGACATTATTATTATGCTTTACATAACAGTGAACCAATGAGGCACATTATCTGCAGCACATTGTCTGTTGTCACCTCTCTGGGACTTCTAGCATCTCTCAGACTAACAACAACCTGTTTCAGTTCAGAAATGCTTTGTGAATCACCCTTGGAAAACTTAGGTTTTTCAAAACTGGTTTCTAGTTCAGCAGAAACCTTCAGCCGTTGGATATTTTGTGCATATGGTCCCTGATCTGTAAGCAGCTCTTGCAGCAGCTCTGCATGTACACTGACATCTAGTGGCTCCAAGGTGTTCTTGCATCTTTACATGGAAACGTCCTCCTTGTCCTTATCGCGGGCATTATTTTCTTATTTAATGAACCTGAAGCCAGATGCTTTTGGATGCTACATCAACGGTTCAGTTACTGTTTCAGTTCTACACACTCCGCCATTTGGATTTTAAATGACGTGACAGATGTGTGAGCAGATGCCAATTCAACCACACTGAGCTGTAGATTATTACTTATGATGTGATATGACAGTGAGCCACAATGACTTGTTTGTGAAATAATTTGATTTGTTGTGTAATCCTCAGCCATTCCCCTGACTGCATATGGACCAATGGCAGCAGCTGCAGCAGCAGCAGCAGTAGTTAGAGGTACGTGTGTGTTTGTGTATGTGAAACATGCTGAGACAAAGAGGGCTTGCATTTTTGTATATTTGTATGCCTGCCTTAGATTGAATGTGTGCACAATGGCCTGCTTGGACAAATAAAAGAATATTTTTAGATGTGTGTGTGTGTGTGTGTGTGTGTGTGTGTGTGTGTGTGAGAGAGAGAGAGAAGCCCTCCAGTGTTGCAGCCTGACTTGTCCTCTCCTGCCTTTCAGGCTCCACCCCTTCACGCACAGCTGGCTTCCTGGGCACGAGCAGCCCTGGACCAATGGCTGACCTGTATGCTGCAGCCAATCAGGACTCAGGAGTCAGCAGCTACATCAGTGCCGCGAGCCCAGCCCCCAGCACAGGGTTCGGCCACGGTCTCGGGGTAGGTCACAGACCCCCTCCATCTCCCACACACACACACACACACACACTTAAGTACATGCAAGAACGCACACATTCACAAAGCCAATGAAGAGTGTATTCATTCTTGTTTATGTCTCCTCAGGGTCCTCTGATTGCTACTGCGTTCACTAATGGCTACCACTGAGAAGACTCAGGTCACAGAAGATGGGAGGGTTTCTCCTCTGCTGATGAGCCAATCACAATGCTGGCTGCCCATTGATGGCACAACCTGATTGGCTGGCCACAGGCTCTACCAGGCTCTCCTGGCTCCATGTGGCTCACCCACCGACTGAATATCTTTTTAAATCCAGAACTCTTGTTTTGCTGTACTAATTCACTTCAACATAACGTCCCTGTTTCTCCTCTTTTGTCCTCATGTAGTGTAAGAACTAGATTACCCCCTCAGTTATCCGTTTTTTGTTTTTTTTTCTGAAGCTGAGAAAAGAAAAACTGCAAAAAAAAATCTCTGAGGAAACGTTTGTCACCTTTGACAAAGACACAGAGAAATATTTTGAGTTTTTTTTATTATTAATTATTATTTTATTTCAATCTGATATGTCATTTTATCATGAAATCCTTCAAAGCTGTTACTGATGTGAAAGAGAAAAAGCCGTGCGAGATGGGTCTTTGTCTGAAAACCATTTTTAACAAAGGAAGAACAAATCCAACAAAGTCCTTTTTTAACTCAAGTGTCACGGAAACATGGAAAAAAAAAAAACAACTAAAATGTATATTTTGGTAGTCTTTAAAAACAAAACCTTTGTAATATTGTTATTAATATTGACATAATAATGATAATCTGTAAGGTATTTTATTCTGTAATTGGTTTTAAAGCAATGTTTTTATGTCTTCCTGTAAGATATTGTACATAGACGTGGGGTGGGGGTGGGGTCTGGGTGGGGTGGATGGGGTTACTGAACCGGCTGGCATGTCATTGGTTGGTTTGGAAAGGGTTAACAGCTGACTGGATGTCATTTACTACTATCTGCGGTCATCTCACTACTTTTATCAGTATGCATATGGTATATGTGTACACTGTGGGCCAGTCCACTCTAGCGTCACTTCAGCGCAGCGCCGTCGACGGTAGCGACTGACAAATAAACTTCCAGGAGTTTGTCTGGCATATTTGTTCAGTTAATCAACCGTTTTTTTTTTGTTTTGTTTTGTTACAAAGTCATCCCTTTGTTTGCTTTTCATCTCGAAAAAGCAAATTCGTCCCCTTTGCATCTTCATGAAAACGATTTCAGAGTAACATGACGGACTACGGATGAATAACAACCTTAAACAGGAGAAATCAGGGGTTCATGGGATGGGATGGGGGGGGGAGGGTATGACTTGACTTCCTCTTTTTTGAAAATATTATATATATTTTTTGCGCAATTCACTTCTTAATGTTTTTTTGTTTATTGTTTTCTTTTTAAGAAAAAAAAAAGTTTCTTTTATGCGGTCTTCGCCGCCGTGAAAACAAATGAAGGACATTCTCAGAGAAGCAGTTGTAGAAACTCACGATCATGTTCTGTCCTTTTATCACTATTGAAGGTGCATGTGATTGTGTCTGAGTGTGTGTGAGTGAGTGTTTGTGCGCATACATCAAGGTGTAATATGGAACTACTTTTGGCATCGAAGGAGCATTTTGATTGCCTTTTTTTCTTTGGTACTGAACAAAAAAAAAAAAAAAAAAAATGGTCGCCCTGTTCCACTTTGGTTCATCTGCTCTTTTCCACTGACTCTCTCCCATTTCATATTTAGTTTTATTAAATTTGCGCTCCTCTGGAACCAACATAATATTGTTTATATATAGTTGCTGCTCCGTGTAGTGGTGAACAGACAGGGTTTTGGGCAGGGAACCAGAAATGGAACAGGGTCTCGCTCTCAGTCGGCTCTGATACAGGACCTCAGTACAAGACGACACTGGCTGGCAGGAAAAGTCAAGAAGCTGGAACAAATTCAACATTTGCAAAAACAAGTAGCCTGTTTGTTCAGCCTTCTTGCTGCAGCCTGTTTGATGTTCAGCACAGCAGAAAACTTCCTGATCCAGCCAGTAGTTCCTCTGTCAGACAGGCTGGGACACGATTTAAAAAAAAAAACAAAAAAAAAACTACAAAAAAAAAAAAACTACTGCTGGACACCAACACTGTAACTTTTTAACTTACAATAAAGCAATAAGTTATTTTTTACCTTACAAATGAAAATAGTACTATTATTGGTAATGGCAGGCGACAAGTGGATAATTCTGCGGCATTAAGACTTATTTTCAGAAAAAAAAGAATCTATATTTTTCTGTTTTGAAATCTTGTTCCCCTTGTATATTGATTTTAATGATGTATTTTGTTGTGTTGATGTAAAGAAAAGGGCCAACGCTTCCAGTGGAGCTTGTAGCTCTACATGAGCTCGGTTAAAGTTAAAGATTTGGGCTGTCCCCCGCCAAGCTTTACAGCAATGCTTTCCTTTATTATTTTTTTTTTTCTGACAATTTCAATTTGAAAATCCTAATAAATTATTCTAAAGCGTTTGTGATTGCTTTTCTTTTATTATTATTTTTTTTACTCCATACGTCACCACATATACACAGGAGAATGATGTCATACAGTCGTCCTCAAGTGTATTCACACCCTCCCATTAAAGAAGGAACAAAAACATCTGTCACTGAAATAAGTTGAAATTGACAAAAGTAATAATAAATAAAACATTTTATGAAAGTCAGGATGTTGCTTTTGAATCATGGTTCAACAGAAATATTAGAAAAACAAGCAAGCAAAAGCATGATGGGACCCATAAACTAATATTTTGTTGAACAACCCTTTGAGCCAATCACTGCAGTCCAGTGTTTTCTGTATCTCTCAATCAGACTTCTTCTCTTTTGATTTTGGCCCACTGCTCATCAGCAAAGTGCTCTAATTTGTCTGGGACAGTTTTGTTTGTTTTGTTTTTTTAAATTATTCTTTTCAACCACAATTCAAAAGCAATCTCTTAATTCACTAAATTATAATTTATCAAATTTTTATTTATTATTATTTTTGTCACTTTCTCGTTATTTAAGTGACTATTGTGAATTTTGCCTTTTCTTTAATGGAAGGATAAGAATACATTTGAGGGCGACTGTGTGCTCACCAGCAAAGGCAGGCGATCTTAGATGAAACTTGCACAAATGGTCTAAATCGGTTAAAGCTGATTTTGGTGACTCCTAGTGGAATTTCAAATAGGACATCCCTCCCCGAGCAGATTTGAACAAGTGACACATTGCTTTTACACCAAAAGTGCAAGGTCGCGCAGAGCAAGGCTGTTATTTCCAGCGCAGAGTGTCTGTGCCTCCTCAGGCAGCAGTGTTGCATGAAAAACGACTTCAAATAAAGTGAAGTCTATAGAGCGAAACACTCAAATGACAAGACATCCAAAGACAAACTTAGCGTGCGTGGAGGACGTGTTCATACATGCGTCCTTACAGTATCAACTGTGTTACAATCTGGATCAGATTTTAAGCACACACAGAAAAAAAAAAAGCTGGGCCCATGGTGCAGCAGAATTCCTCTCTCTGCCATGTATACTTTGCTGTGTTAACAACATTCACACATATTACATGGCACTGACTGTTGAGGGTGTTTTTGTGTCAGGTGCCAGCACTGGTAAACAGAGTCTGATCCCTCACACTTGTAGTCAGGGCAGAGTCCTGGATGGAGGCCAGCCGGGTTAGTGATCCTCTCTCCTCTCTCACCTCTCTCTCCCGACAAACTTCATTTTTTTTCCAGCTTTCAAACAGGATTAGACCCAACAGACAACATCAGACTTATCAAGCAGACTTTTTGAGCCTCTGGTTTAAAACATTTCCTAGATTAAAATTGGATTTCAACTTCTCAAGTTGGATTTACATCCTTTCAGGATCTGCTTCTTGTTTTTCTTTTTTTTTTTCTCGCAGCTTATTTGTAACTTTTCACCTCATTTAATTTGGGTGTTTTTCACCCCCTGACTGTGTTTTTTCTACTACTTGCCAGGTTCAATGGCACTTGGAGTGCTAAATACGCAAGTGAAAAGCTCCCTAAGTGGGAGTGCATTTTTGGACCGCGGTTCTATAGAGGAGCAGGAACCTCCACCTCCACTCCGCAGCTACCTTTGTTTGACTATTTTCGCTTGTTTTTGTCCTGCATACCCCGTCAACATTGTGGCTCTGGTTTTCTCTCTCATGGTAAGAATGGACCACGTAGCTCCGCTCAGCGCATGAGTCATCTTACAGTAAACATGTAAAATTACGGGAATAGTATCAGAGAGAAAAATGAATGTGTTCTCGCTTAGGGTCCTCGAGCTGTTACACAGTGTTCCAATGAGTTGGACAACAAGATGTAACCCAGTCACACATCCACCTGCTCTGCCTGTCAAACAAACGTACATGATCTTCCCTTTAAATAAATATTTCCATGTTGCATTTTGATTTCAGTTAGCCCTGCTGAATGCAGAATGTTAACACTGTATTCTGTTGTTATCAAATTTTTTTTTTAAAAGAAAAAAGATGTGTTTTAACCATTTAAGCATGAATTTAAGGTTTAGTCATCCTCAAATGTATTCATACCCTTCCATTAAAGAAAAGGCAAAATTCACAATAGTCACTCAAATAACTAGAAAGTGAAAAAAGTAATAATAAATAAAATTTAGTGAAATAAGACATTGCTTTTTGACATGTGGTTGAAAAGAAAAATTAAAAAACAAAACAAAACAAACAAAACTGTCCCAGACAAATTAGAGCTGATGAGCAGTGGGCCAAAATCAGAATAAGGTGCAGAAGTCTGATTGAGAGATACAGAAAACACTTGATTTCAGTGATTGGCTCAAAGGGTTGTTCAACAGAATATTAGTTTACGGGTCCCATCATGCTTGTTTGCTTGTTTGTTTTATTATTATTATTTTTTAAATATATATTTCTGTTGAACCACAATCCAAAAGCAATGTCATGATTTTCATTAAATTTGTATTTATTAGTACTTTCGTCAACTTATTTCAGTGACAGCTGTTTTTATTCCTTCTTTAATGGGAGGGTGTGAATACATTTGAGGACAGAAAACAGCATTTGTCACTTAGATGGACCAGATCTGTTTATTTTTGGAGACTGGTTCAGTAGGTTTAGTAGAAACGAGGTTATTCGTGCATCTTCCAGCAAAATGTAGCTGAAAGAGGTGCTTCTCAATTTGAGTGCAGCAGAAAATAAAAAATGGTGTCTGGAGCCTTCTTTTTGCACAATAAAAGGTTGTGAATTAAACAATGTGCCACCAGCCCCCTTTTTGTACTTTGGAGGTTTGTCAGTGTCAAACATTTAAAGGTTAAAATTCTGAACTGTCTGGATGAAGTTTTATGTTTTACAGTCATTTCTTATTTTCCAGTCTAGAAACAGCTATTTCCATGGCGACTATGATGGCTCCAAGCGGCTGGGCAGGAACGCTCTCTACGTTTCCGTAGCCTCCATCATCATCGGCCTCCTCATCATCGCCATCACCTGCATCGTTCATTTTACCACGGTAAGGCCTCGGCTTGGTCAGTATGGCTGTATATATATATTTTGCAAGGCTTCTAGATTGAATTTCCAGAAAACGTATTTCGCAAAAATGTCACTTTGATTTGAGACATACACCTACACGGCGCTACCTGAAGGTGATGTTTGTGGTGCTTTTGAAAATCAAACTGTCACTCTCAGTATCAGAAGCAGCAAGTTGGACGCGAACTATTGTTTCGATGAGGGTGGTTTTTAAAAAAATGCTTCTCTTCTGTATTAAACTACAAAGAGAATAAAAGTGCTGTTTTCAGCAATGTACCTGCAACGTACTGCAAAGCCAGACAGTGTATTTCGTGGCAGATCATGTGAAATACAAATGGTGCATGAGACAGCAAAGGTGTCACATGAAGTCATTGTTATTCAAGACAAACTTGTGCCATTTAACAGATGTCCTTTGTCTCACATACTTGTGTTTGTGTTGCAGATGGATTTTTAGAAAGCACACGCGTAGAAGAGAAATAAGACACTTTAATAGAAACCTCTGGACTGACTGAGCTTCACGACATCCGCCAGCGAAAGGATTCTGATTCGACTCGTGTTTACTTCAATCTGTACGTCACTCACTCTCATGGTTCCTGTTTTTCATATGGACAATCAGTGACTGTAAAATCTGGTGAGTTTAATGCATTTCAGTAACTAATGTCACCGATGCTTTGGATCAAAATGGCAGCTTTCTACAAAGTTTGTAGGGAATCCAGCTTGTATAGGCAGCTTTTGGTCAGGCTGTGACCCTGATGAGGAAACTGTCACTGTTGCTTTTAGCATAATGTAATGCAAGAGTCATAATGATAAGCTGTGATCAGAAAACCAACTTTATCTGTAACGTAACAAATCTTGTGCTCCATTAATGATATTTCAAACTAAAAAAAAAAGCAACAACCACTTTTATTTTTCCTAATGTGCTGATGTTTTCAAGATTCACTAATTATATTTTGGAATGATGCTGAATTTTTGTGCCACAACATTCAGTCTTATCATAGTGAGTCTGTGGCTGGTAGCAATAATAAAATAAGTTGTATGTACAGAATGACTTGTTTATTTTCCTCATCTGTAAGAGAGAAGCTGAGTTTTCATTTTCTGTAATCTAAATTCTTCTTCTTATTTAACTTCTATTAGATAATTCCCTTCTGTACATCAAGCTTGTGTCCAAAAAATACTGCATAGCAAACCTGTCTTTGATTCATGTTGTCCTATCATTCCTGTTTACTTAATGCCAAGAGTACTGCTCAGCATATCAAAACAGTTCTATTGCAGTCTCCTGTGGCTCAAAATCAAACTTCGTAAAAGTGAAGCTGTGTAGTCTTTATCGGAAGAAACAACACATTTATCCTCTTTAAGAAGAAAAGGTAAATTCTTCTTCTTGCATGTGTTCTTCAGTTTAATACAGTCAACAGTTCTGCTGCCAGAACCCTATTTGTTCTGCTTATACACATAGTGAATAATGTCAAATGGTATCCCTTCGATCCCTTCATTGTCACTTGTGACTGTAAAAAATCTATGAAAGGCTACATGAATGAGTTTTCGCTGTTTGGCACAGACATATAACAGAAAACCAGTTGGAAAACCACAAGCCTGAGGTTTGAAAGATGCTGTCATTTATCAGACATCATGGGTCGAATGAAAGATGCTTCTTAGCTGCATTATGGGAAATAAAGTCTCCAGTGTTTTTGGAGCATGACCCACACTTATGATTGAAAGTCTGAAAAAAAGTCTCAATTTTGACCTTTCAAATCTGTTTCCTGTGAGTCTCCTGACTACGAGACAAATCCTGTTCATTCTTTTTAACATAGAGAAATAAGCATTTGTAGTTCCAACACATGGCCTCTCCTAAACAGATCATGAAACAACTATGTACTGTGTTGGAAATGATAATGTTCAGATGGAGAGTGGGGTCAGAGGTCAGAAATCATAAGTCAGTAGAGAGCTGCACATCCACAACGCGTGGAGTTAAAGAGGTTGTTGATGCTGCTTGTGGAACGTTGTCCTTTAGACGTGATTTCTTAGACGACAAAAGATGGAGCTGGAGACATTCATGACTCCAGACCTGACTGACGTGTCGGCATCAGGCAGGTCAACAGCCTGCTCTCGTCTTTTCTTTTCATCTGTGGCATCGTGTCGTTTGAATAAAGCTGCATTTTAAGGTGGTCTGTTGAAAAGAGCGTCTGTGTTCTGGTTAAATTGACCCATTTTACAAATAAAACAAAAGAGAATGTTCAACTTTTTCTCCAAGTTAGAAAAAAAGAACATTTGCTTGCTGCTGTTCAGTTTTTGTTTTTTTAAAGAACAAACTAAAAACTGTTTATGAGCTGTCTTGTCAAATGTTTAATTAATTTCAACTTGTTAATGACTGAGCTATTCCTGCAGTCGTGTTAGTCGACACTGTTTCCTGTGTGTGCCGACACGCCACGGCACGGCACGGCACGGCACGGCACCACACTCTGCCAAATGTGGCATCAAAGCCATTATGTAAAAGTACACTCCAACCAGACGATCGTGTTACATGTTTCAGATCTCTACACCTGTTGCCTATTTGACCCTCACACCACAATTAATCACTTAATCAGTCACCCTTTGAATTGTGTTTAAAATGAGGACTCTGTTGCGTAGAAATCACAACTATCTGGAAACAGACCAGTGAAGTATTTGTTTCATCTGAAGTTCCCTCAGAAATCTTCCCTGGGCCTTGAATTACATCCTGCCCTGCTGATACATTTTCTTGTATTTTGATATGTCACGTTATACCCTGGACTAAAAATAGCAGTTTTCCCCTCCATGTTGCTGATTGCCCAGGCTGTCACATGGTCAAACAAACCTGACCCGGCGGCGAGGTGACTGAAACATATGAACAGCGGCCTTAAAGGTGGGAGGAAATAAAGTGATGATTCAGAAAGCTTCAAGCCAGAGAGCTAAGATCCTGTACATCCATTTCAGTCTCATCTCATGACTCATCTCAGTATTCTTATTGTTGCCATTGAAAAACAACCCCTTCCAGCCTATTTTCTTACATTTTGCACTTCTTTGTGGGGTAATAATGTGCTCCATGGGCCCCCAAAGGAAATATATATATACGCCAGACACAAAATAAAATACATTGTGTACGTCTCTGCATCTGATATGCTGCATGTTTCGTCAAATTCATCTCCTGTATGCAGGTGTAATTCAAAGCAGTCCCTCTGATGTAAGATGCCCTTTGCCAAGTTTCAGCAGTTATTCTAATGCACTTGGACAAATCACTTTTGGCAGTAATCTTGTACTATTATCTCCCATTACTTGAAAGAGAAAGGCAGCGTGATTGTAGTGTTACCTCTTTGATGTCACACCAAAGCAAAACTCAGGAGGACGAGATGAAAAATGAAATGAGTGCAGGGATTAGGCGACTTGAAAGCACTTAGTAAGATTATCAAGGGATCGAGGTAGACTTTGTGACAGGAAACTGATTGCTGTGCTGCGCAATGAGGGAAAATTTCACACAAACAAAATTAATTAAAGGAGCTTTCATTCAGTTTTGTCATGCCAGGCTAAAAAAAGATTTCGCTCTTCGTGAGACAGCTGCTTTTATTCTTCTGCGCAAGAATAGTGAATCATACTAATATTCTCTAGTTTGAATTCACAGCAACAGCTCACCTGAAGCTGTGCTGCTGTGTTGCTAGCTGCACTGAAGCCAATACATTTGGAGAGCACTCCGTGACTCATATGAAGTGCTCTTAAATAGGCCACTCAAACAAGTTGCTTCTATTAGCACCAGAAAGATTCTCCGTGCGCACGTATCCCATGACACATTCCTCCTGTTGGGCAGCAGTTTGATCCAGTTGGAATAAATGAAAGAGGATAACTGTGGGAATGATGCAGAGCAAGCAGAGGAACAGAAACACGCCTGATATCAAAGGAACTAAATGCTCCCAGTGATTCAGTTTCATATACTGGACCCCCTATATTGAGTTTTTTAGTTTATTAAAGCTACCACATTTGACTTTTTTGACTTCTTACAATGAACGAGATGTAGATGCAACCCTGACACACTGTATTATCACTTTTGAGTCCTTCTATAGCCATTAATTAGACTTATAAAAACCCATCTCTGTGTATCAGAGTGACAGATTTAGAAGTTTGTTTCAGAGACTGTCATTGCTACGCAGCAGTTTCAAGCTGGAAAGGCTGAGCCATGGCATTAACTGGTTATTTCACTTATGATATGTCATCTAACATAAAAAAAACCCTCACTGTATTCTCACCAGAGGAGGTCTTGAAAGGTCCCATATTGCGCCTCTTTTCCAAAAAAATAAATGCAAGTTTCACATGTCCCCAGAATGTGTCTTTCAATTTTTAAGCTCAAAACACTGCAAGGACAGTTAATTTTTTTTTTACCATGACTGTATCACCCCTGGTTTTAGCCTTGTTTTAACCTGGCTGTTTTACTTTGGGACTTTGGGGCTGCAAGGTGCCTCGGTGGTTAGCACCGTCGCCTCGTAGAAGATAGAAGACCTCCGGTTCGCGTCCCGGTTAGAATGCCTGGGATCTTTCTGCGTGGAGTTTGCATGTTCTCCCCGTGCAGCGTGGGTTCTCTTCGGGTTCTCCAGCTTCCTCCCACACAGTCCAAAAACATGTTGAGGTTAATTGGTGATTCTAAATTGTCCGTAGGTGTGAATGTGAGTGTCTCCCTGTGTAGCCCTGTGATAGACTGGTGACCTGTCCAGGGTGTCCCCTGCCTTCACCCTAAGTCAGCTGGGATAGGGTCCAGCCCCCCACGACCCTAGTGAGGATTAAGCGGTGTATAGATAATGGAAAAATTTATTTGTTTTCATCATCTTCTTAGAATACAACATAAGTCAATACACCCTTCATAACTGAGATTCCAACTTGATCTTCCTCGACATAAAGGACACCAGTGTAGCACAAAGTTATAAGAAGATGCTCTGTCACTCTTCAGACAATTTTTTTCAGCTCCTTGTTGTTGGAGGGGTTGTTGTTGCCGTACCTTTCTCTACCCAACGGGGTTCTGTTGGATTCACGTCAGCCGACATGCTTGGCCAGGTCATAGTTTTCACTTTCTTCTTCAGAAACTCTTGTGGGATTTTGTGTGCTTTGTAATGTTATCATGCTGGAATATTTCTTGTCTGCCAAGCTTCTGCAGTCTGAGAGTCATTTAGTCAGCCAGTGTTTTAGTGTATTCACAGAAATTCATGATGCCATCTGTTAATATCATTTTACCAACACTTTTGCTCTCATGCAGGCCCATATCATCACATCACAGGTTTTCTAACTTGCACATCAGTGATCAAAGGTGTATTCACTTTTGCTGAATTGAGTTTCTACTTTGGACGCTGTTTTCAATATTGTTGTTCCAAAATATTTGTTTTTGAGATCCAACACTGTAATTGTTAATGTATAAATTATGAAATGATTGAGATGCTTTGAAATAATTCACATTTAAATGATTCTTTTCTTTTCACCTTACTGTTCTGTAACATTGTATTGGTGATATATTTAAAAAATCATTGCGCTATAGATAGAAACTTGCCCTTTTCTGACCTGCAGTAATGTATCTTCAGTGTGACAGGAGTGCCCTATAAAAACATAGGTGGTCGAGAACTGGGTCACGACTTTTGCTCATTTGCATAAGAAAAGCTCAGATGATTTATGTGTCTTGTAATGTGTGAACAAGACCTCTGAGCTTGCATTGTGATGAAGGGGGTCTGTTTAAATGTCCTGTAAAATTAGGGGGAAAGAAAAAAATCATTTGTGTTCTGCAATATCACAAATAATGGTTTTGCTGCTAAAGTGTGCTGTACATTGGGGTGCAAAAGACCGCCTTGAAAAACTGTCACTTATCAGAGAGTTTGATGTTTTTGAAATATTTCAAAGTGCAAAGGTGAAGCATCATGTTAAGTCTGTGTAGAAAAGGTCAGATTTCCTCGAGTTGCATTCTTCCATTAGAGCAGCGTCGACCAGGTGGATTTGATCCACTCTTCAGAGAGCTGGAAGTAGATATTTGTGCAGCCATTGTTCATTCTGTTAAAAACTGAACATTGCTTTTTAAGTACCATTATGATAGTGGGAAAAAAATGGCATCAGAGCTAAGTGGAGATGTCAAAAGTCAAATTGTTATTCTGAGAAATGAGGAAAGTGTTAAATCATGGCCAGACTGAAGGTTTCCAAGGCGGCAGTGAACCTAAAATGCAGACCAAAAGTGACCTCAGAAGATCAATACAACAAGCTTTGCTCACTGAGAGATGGAGAAGCACCTTTATCACAAAAACAAACTTTGCTAAATTAAGATCAGAAGAATCCAATCAGCAAAAGTTCTGTCAAAGGAACACTGACTAGTAGAGGTCTTTGAGGCTGAGTCTTTAAACCACTTTTCCGGAGGGGAAACAAGGCCAAATGCTGTGTGTGTGGGCTCAGACATAGCAGCAATTAACAGTGGACAATAGAAAATGTTTTATTGACTCACAAATTTAAGTTAGAGATTAATGACAGTCACGAGAAAGACGGTGATACTGCAGTGTGTCAAACCCCCAGAGAAGCATAGTGGTGGGAATATACATGTCTGGTGGATTTTGCTACGCTTTAGTTAAATACCTACAGCTAATTAACTCCACCCTGACCAAGAAGTAGCAGCACTGTATTCTTCAGAGACATGCTCCACCTCCTGGTTTGCATCTTTGTGAGGAAAGATTCATACTACAGCAGAATAACGACCCCGATCAAACCTCAGATCTTTGACTCGATGACCAAAGAAGACCAAGGAGTGCTGGCTGTCATGGACTTTCCTCCATCGTCCCCTGACCTTAACCTCTAAACATTTATAAGACTACTTGAAGACTGAGAAGACATTTCTGAGACCACAAGAAGCTCTTTGGAACATATCAGATCATGCTGGAACAACACGAGTGATCACGTGATGAAACCTTTACTACAAACAAGCTACTATCCTGTATTCCTGATACATCATCAGTTATACTGAATGCTGAACACTGTTTACACAGTTTAGCATCAACCATGTATTCAAAAGTGTATTCACAATGAAAGATTTCTAATGATTTCTTTGTGAGGTACGTGTCCTGCAGGATTCATTCATCTTATTCTTTGTTCAACTTGCAACATAAAAATGAATGAAATAAAAAATGTATATCCTGTATTCCCTCAATGTAATTCTTGC